CCCCTCCCATACGTCCTCTCCTCCCCTGTTCTAGGGCCTGCGCTAATTGCACGTGGCAGTTAAGGAAGGTGTACCCCGAAGGGGGTACGATCGAAGACGAAGAGGGGGGTACCGCGGGTTCGGGATATACGCGGTGAATGGCACGCAAGCAGATCGGAACGAATTGTCTTAAAATGAGTGTTGTTGTTGGTGGTGTTATTCCTGTTGTTGTCGCTGCTGCTGCTGCTGTTGTTGCTGTTGTCGTTGCTGTTGTTGGCTTTGTTGTTGGTGTGGTTGTTGCTGTTTGTGTAGCTGTTGCTGTTGTTGTCGCTGTTGTTGTTGGTGCTGCTTTCGGTGTGTGTATAGCGTTGTCGTTGTTGGTTGTTGGTGTTGGTGTTGTGGTTGCTGTTCTTGATGTTCTTGTGTTTGGTGTTGGTGTTGTTGATGTTGTTGTGGTTGTTGTTGATACAGGCGGGGCAGCCCCCCCCGGGGGGGAGATGGGAGGGGGGGGGCGAACAACACAACACAACACAACGCAACCCTATAGGGGGTTTGCGTGTGTCCTCCGCCTTCCCCCCCTCTTCTTCCTCCCTCTCCTCCTCATCATCTTCGTCCTCCTCCTCCTCCCCGTCCTCCTCGTCCTCCTTCTCCTCCGTCCTCCTCTGCCCCATCCCCCCCCCATCCGGCGCCCAGGACGGCCCAGGAGGCGCCCAAGACGGCCCAAGAGGCACCCAAGACGACCCCAGGAGCGGCCCAAGACGGCTCACGACAGCCCAAGAGGCGCCGAGGCGGGTCTCAGACGGCCCCAAGACGGCCCAAGAGGCACCCTAGACGGCCCGAGAGGGCCCTAAGAGCCCCCCCGGGAGGCCCAAACGAAGGCCGAAGAGGCTCCGAAACGGCCCCCACGAAGCCTTCAGTGCCTTCAGAATTCCCTCCAGGAGCGGGGGAGCGGACGAGAGGCGACAGGCATATCGCAGGCAAAAACGCCCCAAGAGATCCCCAAACGGCCCCCACGAAGCCCTAAGTGGCCTCAGAATTGCTTCCAGGAGGGGGGGAGCGGACGAGAGGCGACCGGCATATCGAAGGCACAAAAGAACAATGTTGGACGCTCCGAGGGCCTTCGATGTTTCTCCGTTGGGGAGAGTCGTCGTAGGATCGACGATTGCCGACCGAGGGCAGCGAATCCAGTGGAGGCCCAAGAGGCCCCCAGGAGCCCAAAAGAGATCCCCAAGAGGTGCCACGGGGCTTAAAAACTGCTTCGAAGCGAGGGGGGCGGACGAGGGGACCGCCTCAGGAGGTTTTGGACGGTTTTGGGCCTCAAAATCGTCCGCTTTACGACGGTTTTGGAAGGATTTTGGCCTTCTCGCCTTTTCCGCTTTCCGACGCTCGAAGACGGCCCAAGAGGCCTCCAAGAGCGCCCCAGAACGGCCCAAGAGGCTTCCAAAGCGCCCCAAGACAGCCCAAGAGGGCCCCAAGACGACCCAAGAGACGCTCAAGACGGCCCACGAGGGCCCGAAGACAGGCCCAAGAGGGGGCCAAGAGGGGGACCACGGACCGAACATCCGAGCCTTCCGCCCCAAGAGGGCGCCAGGAGGCCCAAACAGGCCCCCAAGAGGCCCCAAGGGGCCGCCAAGAATCCCCCGAAGAGGCCCCAGGAGGCTCCCAAGGAGCCCAAACGAGGCCCCTACAGAGGCCCCAACAGCTTCCAAAATGGCCCCGAAGTGGCCTCGAGCCCGCCTCCGAGCTTCCTCGCCGCGAGGGTGCCAACACGGCCCCAGACGGGCCCAGGACGGCCCAAGGCGCGCTCAAGACGGCCCAAGACGATTCCAAGACGGTCCCAGGAGGGTGCGCCCAGGACGGCCCAAGGACGCGCCCGTTCGGGGCCTCAAGACGGGCCAAGATGGCAAGAGAGTCCCAGCTGGCAAAAATCGTTAATTTTCCATTGTTTACTGTTACACCCTTTGCGTTTCCCGCCGTTTCGGCGGTCCGATGCACCAAGAGGCCCCAGAAAGTCCCAGGAGGGTCCGAGGAACCGCCCAGGAAGGCCCCAAGACGGGCCAAGACGGACCCAGCACAACCCAAGGCGCGCTGCGACGGCTCAAGACGGCTCCAAGACAGCCCCAAGAGGGTGCCAACACGGCCCCTGCTGGGCCCAGGACGGCCCAAGGAGGCGCACAGGAGGGGCCCAAGACGACTCCAAGGCGGCCCAAGGAAGCGCACAGGAGGGGCCCAAGACGACGGCTCCAAGGCGCCCCACGACCTACGGTCCCAGACGGCTCCAAGACAGCCCCACGAGGACCCCGATGGGCCCAGGACGGCCTACGGACGCGCCCATGAGGGGCCCACGACGAACCAAGACGGCCCCATCATGGCAAACGGCGCCCTCAAGACGGGCCTAGACGGCTCCAAGACGGCCCTTTGAGGGAGCCAACGCGGCCCCACACCCTTCGGGCGCACACTTGGGGGGGCTGGGGGCTTGCGACAAGTCTCCCACATTCATTGTCCTGCCCCATTCTGTTCGCCTGGAGGCCTCCTCCAACCCTGTGGGCGAACAAGAGGAATCCCAGCGGGACGCCAACCCTGGGGCCCGTGGGCCCCGCGCCGCTTGGGCAGAAGACGAACGCCGGGTCTGACAGGCCAGCTACCGCCCCCCTTTGCCCGATATGCTGTGCCATTCTGTTCCCCCAGGGGCCTTGGCAAACTCTTCGGGCCAAGCAGACCGGACCCCTGGGACAGCAGCCAATTGATATGACCCTGGGACCTCTCCGCATTCTTCGGACGAGCATCTGGGGGGCCCAGGAGATTCGGACATGTCTTCCCCATTCCTTGCCCTGTCCCGTTCTGTTCGCCCGAAGGCCTCCACTGACCCTCTGGGCGAACAGAATGGGACATGGCGAACAAACCCTCCCGTTGGCGGTGATGCGACTGGATCGCACCATCAAGGCGCGCCCGGAGGTGATGGCCGACCCAACAGCGGTTTCTCTTAGGGCCCGAAGACAGGCCCAAGAGGGGGCCAAGCGGGGGACCACGGACCGAAAATCCGAGCCTTCCGCCCCAAGAGGGCGCCAGGAGGCCCAAACAGGCCCCCAAGAGGCCCCAAGGGGCCGCCAAGAATCCCCCGAAGAGGCCCCAGGAGGCTCCCAAGGAGCCCAAACGAGGCCCCTACAGAGGCCCCAACAGCTTCCAAAATGGCCCCGAAGAGGCCTCGAGCCCGCCTCCGAGCTTCCTCGCCGCGAGGGTGCCAACACGGCCCCAGACCGACCCAGGACGGCCCAAGGCGCGCTCAAGACGGCCCAAGACGATTGCAAGACGGTCCCAGGAGGGTGCGCCCAGGACGGCCCAAGGACGCGCCCGTTCGGGGCCTCAAGACGGGCCAAGATGGCAAGAGAGTCCCAGCTGGCAAAAATTGTTAATTTTCCATTGTTTATTGTTACACCCTTTGCGTTTCCCGCCGTTTCGGCGGTCCGATGCACCAAGAGGCCCCAGAAAGTCCCAGGAGGGTCCGAGGAACCGCCCAGGAAGGCCCCAAGACGGGCCAAGACGGACCCAGCACAACCCAAGGCGCGCTGCGACGGCTCAAGACGGCTCCAAGACAGCCCCAAAAGGGTGCCAACACGGCCCCTGCTGGCCCAGGACGGCCCAAGGAGGCGCACAGGAGGGTCCCAAGACGACTCCAAGGCGGGCCCCTCACGGTCCCAGACGGCTCCACGACAGCCCCACGAGGACCCCGATGGGCCCAGGACGGCCTACGGACGGCCCATGAGGGGCCCACGACGAACCAAGACGGCCCCATCACGGCACACGGTGCCCTCAAGACGGGCCTGGACGGCTCCAAGACGGCCCTTTGAGGGAGCCAACGCGGCCCCACACCCTTCGGGCGCACACTTGGGGGGGCTGGGAGCTTGCGACAAGTCTCCCACATTCATTGTCCTGCCCCATTCTGTTCGCCTGGAGGCCTCCTCCAACCCTGTGGGCGAACAAGAGGAATCCCAGCCCCGCGCCGCTTGGGCAGAAGACGAACGCCGGGTCTGACAGGCCAGCTACCGCCCCCCTTTGCCCGATATGCTGTGCCATTCTGTTCCCCCAGGGGGGCCTTGGCAAACTCTTCGGGCCAAGCAGACCAGACCCCTGGGACAGCAGCCAATTGATATGACCCTGGGACCTCTCCGCATTCTTCGGACGAGCATCTGGGGGGCCCAGGAGCTGTCCCGTTCTGTTCGCCCGAAGGCCTCCACAGACCCTCTGGGCGAACATAATGGGACATGGCGAACAAACCCTCCCGTTGGCGGTGATGCGACTGGATCGCACCATCAAGGCGCGCCCGGAGGTGATGGCCGACCCAACAGCGGCTTCTCTTAAGAGTTCACTGGATTTCAAATTTTCTTGAAGCTCTCTTGGGCCCTCCCTGTAGATCCTTGCGAGCCTCCCCGGCGCTTTCGGTGGCTTTCCCCGATGGCCTCCCGAGCCCTTCCCCGAGCGCTCCTGAGACGCCTCAGATGGTCTTCGACTTCGACGCACATCCCCGAGAGACTTCGAAACTGTCCTCAATAGGAGGGGGGTGAACGAGCAGTGCGCTGGGCCAAGCTGCTGCAGCGCTGCAAGAGCTCGGACACGAAGGCGCGGTCTCGCTGCCGCCGCCCGAGCCGCCGCCGTATTTGTAGATTTTCGGTACAATCTGCGCCGTTCCTCCGAGAACCATTCCAGAAAGATGTCGTGGACGGAGTCCACGGGTCAGCCCTAGTCAGCTACAGCGCTGGGATCAGCGCGTGCGAGAAGAGCGAGCAGTGGCAGCCGGCGCTGGCGCTGCTGAGCGAGATGTGGGAGGCGAAACTGGAACCCGACGTCATCAGCTACACCGCTGGGATCAGCGCGTGCGCGAAAGGCGAGCAGTGGCAGCGAGCGCTGGCGCTGCTGAGCGAGATGTGGGAGGCGAAACTGGAGCCCGAGGTCATCAGCTACAGCGCTGGGATCAGCGCGTGCGAGAACGGCGAGCAGTGGCAGCGGGCGCTTGCGCTGCTGAGCGAGATGATGGAGGCGAAACTGGAACCCGACGTCATCAGCTACAGCGCTGGGATCAGCGCGTGCGAGAAGGGCGAGCAGTGGCAGCGGGCGCTTGCGCTGCTGAGCGAGATGCGGAAGGCGAAACTGGAGCCCAACGTCATC